AAAACTGAAATTTTTGCGCTGAAATTGTGTTCAAACTAGACTGGTTCTAAAAAATTTTGATGTACAGGGTGACAAATGGTATCTGATAATTTTGCGCCACATCACCATTTCTTTATTTCTTATTCGTTTCTTTCATATCATACATTGTTTTGTAGCTGAATCATTGAAGTTTTTGATGCACAGAATTTGCTTTAGGACTTTGAATATTTTACTGGACTATTCAAGCTTCCAAATGTAGGGTTCGTGAGTGCGTTTTGGCACTCATTTTTATTATCAAAACGCGAATAGTTTTAACTTCGATAGTCTTTTAGGGTAATTGCTGTGATCATTTTATGCAAGAAAAACTCTTCAAACAGAGATTACTGTCAATTTTTCGGTCTGTAGCGCAGATACTTTGAATGATGGGCTAAAATTGAGTTTTCGAAAACAAGACATCAAAAACCTTTTTTAGTTACATTTCGGTGTTTTCTCGATTGCAAAAAACGATTCTGCATGTAAACAGGTAGGATCTATCCGCATGGTGCCAATGGAACATGAAAAATGAAAAATTGGACAAATTCCGTACTTTTGTTTTTGCTTTTTCTGTTCGCACAAGATTCTATCTGGAATTCTTGAGAGCAATTCAGATTTTCGTGTCACTCTTCTACATTTTGCGACCAATATTTAATTGAGATTTGCAATATGAATCGCAAAAAAACGTATATTTAGTCAAAAAATCAATCAAGAATTTCAGATACAAAACTGACTTGAATCAACTAGCGAAATTGGCAAAAAAAACTTCAAAGATATTCTGTAAGAATACCCAGAAAAAAATTTGGTTACAGCAAGCCTGCAAAAAATAACATGCTACTCAAAATTATCAGCCTCCATTTGTCACCCTGTAGCATCAAATGATCAAACTACACCGACGTAAAATAGTCTAAGCTTTCTCGGGATCCAGGTTATCAAGTTTGAACAGGGTGGGGAAATCCGTATCTTTTTGTTCGCTCGCTGATTTACACCGGCAATAATAAGTTTCAACTCTTACGGATACAGAAAGGTCAGTTTAATTGAAAATCGAACTGATCTATTGTTAAAAAACAAAGTTTTATTTCTCAAGATAAGTGAATTTTCTGGTTAGTCACCAAAGTTTAGATCAGGAGAATGAGTTTCATGAAAAAATCATGTACACACTCCTTTGATCGATAATTTTCTGTATACTGAAAAAAACAATATGAACTTTATTTAAAAAAAATTAGCGGATCAATGGATCTCATTTGATTTATTTACCGCGTTTTTGACCCGATTTAACCTTAGAAATAAATAGTACGATTATTCCCGAAAATATTATATTATTATATTAATAACCGAAAAAGTGTTTAAATTATTTATGACTTCTAGTGTACATGAACGAAAACAAAATCAGTTTAGATTGTCAGCAGAATTGATAAGAGAAAGTCAATTCTTGGAAATAATATCGCATGTGATCAAATCTAACAAAATACTTAGATAAATTGTCAGATTAGCTGGAATTGTTTATCTGAAAGAGTTGGAAATAATGAACCTGCAATTCAACTTAAAATTGAACTGGCAATAACTAAATCACCATTGTTTGAATTGATTAAATCATGATAATGGCCAGAAACATAATCTAGTAAAACACGAAACCCTAAATTTATCATTATTGCTGTTATTAGCGATAGATTATTAATTGGAGGAGGAGAATCGAGTAGATCTTGAGATAAACTTTTCATATGAAAACCAGAAGACAAACGAACAAAATTGTATTGATTCAAACGAATTGAAATAACAACATTAAATTAAATTTCGCTTTCAAATGATGACTTATCAAGTTCCAGCTTTTGCCTTGGCAATATTTTTTGTCGCCGCCATCTCTCACATTGCTAATGCTGATCAAGGTATTGATACATTTTCAGGTTTAAATTAGTTTTACAATTAATTATTGTTTAATAATGTGAACCCTTTCTTCTTCAGTATTCAACTATGATGTGACTGTCCAAACCTCAGGATCAACCCAATTCTCAGCTCATGATGGTAAACTCAAGCTTTCTGTGGTCAAAATGGGTGGAAAGACACAAGAAGACTTTGTATTGACACCAAAGTAAGTCATTATTGGTTTATTTAATTCAACTTAACAGTTGCCATTTCTTCATTCTTTGTTTCCAGTGATGTTAATCTTACCATGAATAGCGAATACACTGGTCAAATTACATCTTCCATTGAGCTTGAAGATATCAAATCTGTTTACCTCCAATGGACTTTGGCTACTCCATACAATCCATATTTTGCTATCAAAAAACCATCCATCTACTTTGATCAAATTGTTTTTGGCTATAAATATCGAGCTATGACATATCGAACACAGTAAGATCTTCAATCAAATCATCATTCTCTATTTTGTGTAAACTTTATGAAAATCGAATCAAATGTTTTCTCAAAAAATCACAGAAACAAGTTACACATAAACTAATCATTAACTAATTATTGCCATTAATATATTTTCTTATTTTTCAGTATTAACATGAAAAAACTGCAGAAATTCTGTCCACCAACTCAACCTATTGGAATTGAACATGCCGATGGAGCTTCATTCAACGCTTGTGGACCCATAATACGACAAGTCTTACCATTTTGATGATTTTCTGTCAAATTTCAACCGGTCTACAAATTTTCAGTTAATCGCAAACGAAAGGTCTTGTGCATGACTTCCGTTGATGCTAAAAATAATAAGTATCATGTGAAACCGAAATTGGGACAATTTTCAATTTTGATTGAATATACTATTCAAATATGCAAACTGTAAGGTCAATGAATCCATTTTTAATTAAAGTCTAATAAAATATATTAAGTAAATGCAACAACTTTTTGTGCTAAAATTATTGCGCTTGGACCAAAAAACGGTTCAAAATTTTTCTGGTCACATAAATTTTGTGATAAAAAATAAATGTCTGAAAATTGGTTAAAACTTTTATGGAATTATTGTTTCTGAGAAAATCATGTTAAACAAAGTTTGAAGCAGGTTGAAGGCTTAGTTTTGCTTTGGATGTTTTATTATTCAGTCTGGATTTGGAATCAAATAGGCTACACTATTGTAACAAAATGTTCAAAATTAGGTTTAATTCATTCTTATTCATTTTCTTACCATTATTCAAGAACAAAACATTTGTTTTTCATCATAATATCTCCAATAGGGTTATTCAATTTTATAATATTAAAATATATTATTAATAGTTTATTACAAAAATCTAAAGATTTGTTATCCAATTCAAATCCAATCCGTCATTTTGCGGTTTGCAAAGTAATTGACTTTAACAAGCGACTATTAAATACTTTCAAAACTAGCGATGACTATTTGTGAAGACATTCTTAGATTTGCAATGAAGACAATTTAATACACAATTGAATCAATAAGGTTTGATTAATTTGATGAATTGGTCAAGCAAAAGGTAAATAATAAGGTGAACCCAAAACAGCATTTGGAATGAATTTTAATTGTTTATATTTTGAGTCTAATCAATCATTTGAAGGTTTCCCAAGTAATTATTATGTGCTAAAGAATACAATTAAATTGATTTTCACATTTGCAATTGCAATTTAATGTCGATGCAGTTACACGAATTTACTCGAAGTAAAATATTGTTTTACATTATCCATCTATGATTACAGTATTGGTACAATGATTTTGAACAGAAGAGTTTTAATTTTAACATTTTGTTCGATTGGATGTTCAATTCATCTATTTACTGTTGTGAATGAGTTTCTAAAGTTTCCTGTTCGAACTGATGTTATTTACGATTATCCCGAGAAAATGATTGTTCCTGAAATCGACATTATCTTGTACAATATTGATTTATTGAATTTGACTGAACTCTATCTAAAGCATCCGGAAAAGATGGCAGATATTTGTAGATTTAAATTTTCTAACTTAAGAATCATATCGAATGGAGAATTCAATTCTAATTGCACCAAATTCTTGAAATCTTATCATGAAAGTGGTTTCTTTATTGCTAAAATTTTGACGGTTGGTGATTTAGAAAGTTTAAACATCGAATCCTTGATCTTTGAATATAAAATATCCGGTTTTATTCGAAACGATTTATGTTCAATAAAGAGGTATTTCAACGCAATAAACACTTTCATCAGAGTCTCATGTCGAGAAGATTCAAAGCCGATAGAGAGGAGGTTAGTGCAAAATATTGTAGCCGATGATCGCTTTTGCATAATGCATAGTATTTATCATCATTTTGGTGTTCGTCTCGCACACACAAACAGTTCAATCAATCCTGATGAAATAAATTACATGGCAGTTGATAGAGAAGCGGGTGAAAATGTATTTACGCGTTTGCGTTATAGAGAAACAGTTATTGAAAACAGCGAATGGCCTTACCAAACCAATTGCCGACACTATCAGAAATCAAAAATATTTAGCCAATGTTTACGCGATAAAATATTCAATTCATATCCAGGAATGATTCAGCTGGAAGATGTTCTTCATGTTGGTCAATTTCCATCCGATTTCAAGTTTGAAGACTTTTTATCTGTTAATGAAACGCTTTACAAAATAAGAAATGAATGTGCGGAACAAGTTAAACAGCTTCAATGCATTGTGCTGAAGGGTAGTGATGCCCAAGAACAATCCCAATTAATCATTTAATTCAATTTAATTCAATTTAATTTTCATTTGTCGAAAAGCTTCTAAGCTTCAATAATTTTCTTATCATTTAAAGTTTGTAATTTTGTGTTAATCCCTGAAAGATGACATCATTGTAATTGTTTACTGTTGTCTTAGATTCAAGGTTGTCAAGGAAAGCTTCTAAGCTTGCTTCATTATTCCTTTTCCTTTTTCTTTTGTTCTTTCCTTCCGTTATTAAGGGTATATAAGAAAGATTTAAATCTTTAATTAATTGTCTTCTATGATCTACAAAGGTCTTTTAGATTACTACTGATCTTGATTATGTTAAATTACTGATTCTAATCATTCTACTTCATCTTTGACTTCCAAGTCTACTTCATATTCAGTTTATTTTATGTTTAATAAATTTCTTTGGTTTTGTAACCTTGTTTAAGTTGTGCTATTCTTGCCTTAATTGTGTTTCCTGGTTAGACTCTAGTCTATTGTGCTCAACTTAAGATTTGTATCTTATTTGGTTTCATCTCTAAGTGATGCTCGAACTGAAAGCTATTGAGCTGTTAATGATAATTTTCATCTTGGTTCTTGAGATACAATTCTCGTGCTTAAGTCTGTTCTGGTTGAGTTTAGAAACTCGTTTTGGCGCCTAATAGCTGTTATTTCTGTTCTGCTTTCTAAAGCTAAATTCCTGTCCAAGCTGCTAAGCTAACTCATCTTTCAAACGTGTGACCAGTTAGTCCATTTCCTGTCTTGTGACAATCTTTTCTTGTTTGACCAGATTTGTGGTTTCAGCCATTGGTAATCTTGGTCTTTGCTGAAATTGAACTCTTTGTTTGCTCTGGTTTTACTTTCAACAGTAATCTTATTTTGAGTTTAGAAACTCTTTGGTGATCCTAAAAGAACCTGAAACTTCAGGATTTGAAAGGCTGAAGAAATCTTCTGAGTGTAATTGAATTCTAATTCAAGTTTAAAATTAAATTTAATTAAATTAAATTGTGCTCGTGTTTTGAAACATTTAAATATGGTAACATCCTTTCAGTGCAAACTTATCAAACTCAAGGTAGAACTTACAAAGAGAAAGGTTCAGATCTCGGTTTAATCTGTTTGGAGAATCAAATCGATTTCAATATTATTCTCAAAACGTATCCCAAGTCAACATTCACTGAACTTCTCATATACATCAGCAGTATACTTGGAATCTGGTTTGGAATCTCAATCTATGGAAAATTGATAGACGGATTCATTTTCCCAGCAATACCTCAGCGCTCAGCCCATATTTATCCCTTCATATATATGTGAATAGATAGAATTAGTTTCTAGTTTGAATTCACGGAAGATTGATAGATGTGTCCATTTTGCATTAATCATCGAACTAATTATCAATGCATAGATTTCTATGATTCTTGATGATTTAAGGTTTAAGGATATAAGGTTTTTGATGAAATCACTTTCAAAGTTCAAAATTAGATTTCATTTTATTCAGCTGTATAACCAGATTTTATTTTATGTTTTAGTTTTCCATTGACGATGGTTTTCTTCATTAAGCATTTGTGAATTTTACATGTGGCTTGAATTAAGCATACGCGGTTAAAAAAAACTTGCGATCAGCCATGATCGCACCAGTTTCTTGTGAAGATAATTGCAGAACCTGTAATCTCGTCCTGTATTTTCTTTTCAAAATTTCGCCTCATTATCAATCTTATCTCCAAAATAAACTCCAATTGTTTTGACTCAATCATCTGACTTATGTGATTTCATCTAATTAAGTTCAGTAAGCACTCATCGATTCCTTGGAATTGCCTGTAGCAAAAGTACCTAGAAAACAAGGTTTTTTTTCATGAAATCAGATAAGAGGTTTCATTGTTTCTATTACGTATTGTGATATTGATTGTTAATTTTGTTGTGATGAATCTGTTAATTTAATCTTTATCGAATAATATAAAAGCGTGTAAAACTCGAATAGTTTTTATTCAGTTTTGTATGTTCATTAAAAATTGTGTGATTCCAATAATCCAACTAAAATAAAAGTAAAATGAAGTTCTTGATCGTTTTAAGTGCCATCTTTTGTCTCTCAGCCATCAGAGCTGCTCCAACCGAAGGTAAGGCTTTTCCTAACCTAATCTTAACCCAGTTTTGTCAATGTCTCGTCCTACTGTTTTTACAGAACCAACTCCACTTGCTAAAGCCGCTGTCGAATTTAATCGGAGATTTCTTAATGAATGGGAAAAAACGGTTCCTGGTTAGTTAATAATTAAATTTTTTCTTAATAATATTTAAAACTTTAAATTGTCAATTTATTGATCATTCTCAGGTTGGGATTCAAAAGCTTCACTTCGATCAAATCTTTTGGCTCTTCTCTCAAAACCTTTTGACAACAAACTGGTTCCTGGTGAGTTTATTATTGACTTGATTTGTTCAATCACGAATGCTTACTTTTATGTTTAAATTATTATCATATATCAGCATGGAATCCTGATGTCAGTGCCAAGGAAAACTTCGAAAGGTACATTGTTCTTCTTGATGTCGAAGGTAAATATTTTCATTTAATATGGTTTATTTGATTAGAACAATATTGTTTAATTACATTTTTAGGTTTAGCTAGAAATAAGTCTGTTGTTGATAATATGGCGCTGATTGTTCAAAAGTATTTCGATAAACTGCCAATTCCAAGTAAGTATTGATAATTGGATATAACTTCAGTTTAATCTTGTTAATATTTTTATTTTTCATTATTCATCTACAAATGATCAGTGTTTTTCCCAAAAAATGAACTCGAAGAAAAGATCGTCGATCAAGTGATGAAATTTGTCACAGAACAGCATTTTGGATGTAAGTGAATTGTTTTAAGAAAATTTATCATAATTTTTTTACTAATATAATAATTGCTCTGTTTCCAATAGTCGACTACAACAAAGAGACTTTTGATCAAGCTGTTAATGCTTGGCTCAACAGTCTTGCTGATATTAAAAGTAAGTATTAAATTATATTGTGATAGTGTAATATTTTCTTAATTTGACTAATTAATTGAACCTTTTCATGATCAATACCAGTTTCGGATCCTAAAGACTTCATCAAAAGCAATTTAGAGCAACTTTATGCCGCAATTCCTTTTCCTGGCTTCAATGCTGACAAAACTTTGGAGGATAATTTTGTTGCATTGACCGAATTTATTTTGGAAAAACTTGACATTTGAATTTTCATGTCTACATGAAATATTTAAAATAATGATTCAATAAATATTATATAATTTAGCATGCAATAAATTAAACTAATTTCTCTACGAAACTACTTAATTGATATGCAGATTTAACGAATGAAACGCGTTTTATCTCACTCAAATCTTGAGTTCAAAAAATATGCAACCTAGGAAATGAATTATGAAAATTGATCAGATAAAAAGAATAAAATGGCAAGAAAAAGAATTTTTAAAACTAAGTACGGAATCGACCCGAAATATGCGACAATAAGCTGAAACAGTGTTATGAATAATACATTTATGATAATAAAACGATGATCGATAACTATCATAGTTTGGCCTGAGAGCTATATTAATAAGCCAAAAGTCAACGATTGTAGGCAGAAAGAAGAAAATGGTGAAATAATTAACGAATCGAGTATAAAAGTATATTAAAAGAGACGAGCTTAAATGGAGTGTATGGAAATGGATCGCAAAAATATGAAAGAGGATAACCACAAGCGTACTTTATTCATCGAAGAGAATGTTAATGAAATCGGTGATTTCAAAAGGACTTCATTAAGGGCAGGGGTTGAGTTAAAGAAATATTTTTAATATGCTTGGTCAACACGAAACAGAAGATTGTCCGACACAAAAGAATCACTTTAAACATAACAGACATTATCAAGAACGACCCTATTGTGCCAATTGTAAAGATTTTGGCCAATAGACTTTGCATTGAAGCGATATTCAATCATTTTAAGTCTCATGCATTTCTATTCATCGATAAATGAGGCAAATGAATGCAATTAGAGATCATGTTAAAAATCATTCATTGGTTTTGTATATGAACAAAATGAGATTTTATTGTAATATTATCACTACTTTTAAACTCCTAATTACTTATACATTATATTATGTTGACACATTAGTCTGATGTTTCGTTTTTTCTTGAGTTTCCTTTTCCTTTGCAGCAATCAAAACTAGATCCCATTTCTGCTTTTTTATGTTGAGCAAAATAGCGTTAGCTAAGGGAAAGGCGAATAATAAACCAGCAATTATGTACACAAGACCAGGATTGTAGTCCAATGTTGCTGTAAATACTGTGGTGTAGAATAGCGATGTAATTGTTGGAGCGAATCCAGCGATTGCTGATGAAAATGCGTAAATTTGTCCGATCTCTTCTTTATGAATCATACGTGAAACGATTGATCGATCGGTAACAAATATGACACCAGCGAAACAGCAAACTATGGCGACAAGGTTGGCTAATGGATTAAGGATAATACCTTTGACGAGGAAAGCTACCATCATTGAGAATAAACCAATTATGGCCAATGAAGTATCATGCATGTTCAGTTTATGAATGAATAGTGGTGGACCAATAAGGGCGCCCAAAGCAGGGAAAATAATGACAATGGAATTGTAAAATCCAATTTGTTCGGCATTCCAATGATAAACTTTTTGGATGAACTGGTATCCTATGTATTGGTCACCATTATAACAAGTGTTTGCTATAAATCCAGTAAAAAGTGTTGAAATTAAATACCAATGAGCATTATTTGGTCTTTTTTTGAAAACTGTGCGACTTGCATGCAGAATATTATCTGGTTTGATTATATCATAAATTATTTGTTTCACTGTTTTCTTCTTGTTTTCACAACTTGAAGGATCACCATTTATTATTTGAGGTTCATCTGTTTTAACCTCTTCGTCAACAGCGTCATATAGCAACACCATGATCCAAATAGCGGCAATAAACGCCAATACAGCTGAAATAATATAAACTCCAATGTAGTTACGATACTGGTTTGGAAACCATGGTTTAGACGAAAGGAGACTTCCTCCCAAAAGGTTTCCAATGGGCATACCTGTCATTAAAATTAAAATCTATATCTATTATAATATACTATAATAATGATTTGATTTTGATTTAAAAGATGTAACTTACAAGAAAAGAAGGCAATTTCGAGTATTGTAAACCTAACCGCTCGATATTTGGCTGGTGTCTTTTTTGTGGCATAGGTAAAGGTTCCTGTTCCGATAATAATTCCGCTTCCAGTTAAAACTGGAACCAAATTTGTCCACAATAATAACTGAGCGTCTAAAAAGTACATAAATAAAGACATTAACACTATAGCTATTATTAATAGTAATAGACTATTACTTACCCATTTCAAATTGTAAACATTGATGTATAATCATGATATGTTGACAGACGATTGCTAATGATGCTACACCAGCAAGACACCGGAGATGACCAGGATATTTGTCCATCCAATAACCCAAAATGAGGGACAAAATGATCGCTGGTATTGTTGTCATTAGAGTAACATGCATTTTAAGTGTTGTACTATCTTTCAAGACATCATTCCTGACGCTATCATATTCAGATCCAGCATTTTCCAAATTTAAACAGACACTTTCATTGAGTGAATATTTGTTGATACAATATTTATCCTGGATCAGTTGGTTGAATGCAATTGTAGGCAATGAAGTACTTAAAGTTGTCAAAAAATAAAAAACATCGATTCTCAAAAGTTTAACAATTTCCCAAACCTCTTTGGAAGTAATTTTGGCCATTTCGATCACTTTACTTTGAAAAAGTTATTCGCTCCAAACACAATATTTGAATATGGTGTAACTTGTCTGTTGCGAAAAAATGAACTGACTTAAATTGAAATTTGCATTGGATAGACTTCACTATTTATATGTTTTAAATAATAATGACAGATATTAATTCCGTAAATGCAATATCATACTGTTAACGATCAAATCAATCTCCAGATTACTAGATAAGTTTCTCGGTATTCATCAAATCCAAAATAATCTCATCAAGCACAATTGTACTCAAAGACGCCCTCGTTAATCCTTACTCACTCCTACAACGATTAAAATATCTACAGCTGACGGTATAAATATTCTGTACTCAAATAATCGTTCACGTTTACACGGATTAAAATTAAAAGATAGAAAGAGCGACAAATTAAATATGCAAGTAATAATTTAAACTGAAATTGAGTAAAAAATTTTGGATATAATCAGATTGGAGATTTATATCATAGTACAACAATATCAAAAAATTACACCAAAGAGAGGAAATCTTTATTCTGTTTCGATCACCAGTTCCACCTGAATTATTTAGGAACAGCATTCAATAAATGTGAGTAAAAGTATGGCTTTTACTGACTTTAACTGTTGAAATTTTAATCTGGCGCCAGTAAAAGTCACAAGCTAGTCCACCAGGCGCTTCCTTTCACAACAAAACAACGCAGATGCTTGCATTAATTGTTGACAATTAATCCGTTTTTCTATGTTGATGCAATGTAATCGAGTATTTAAATTGAAGACTTTTGTTTGTAGCATAATTTTATTTTTGTAATTATGTTTTTATCGAGAAGATGTTTAGCAAGCCATATTCAGGTACGTTTATTTTGTTTTCATTCATTTGCCATTCTACTGTTAAAAGTCAATGTTAATTTTGCTTTCCTTTTTTTTCTTCACTTAGGTTCAATTACATTCATATTGTTGAAAAAATCACAGCAGTACAATTCTAACCTATTCGCGGATACCATTACAACTAAATTGTCAAGTTAAACTGCAATAAACACTATCAGCATTTGTGTGTACATGTGAATACTAACATATTTAGTGATTCCCCTCCACTGTCAGTGTCATATGTTCGGTACAATGTAATTTAATAACTTTTGTGATGGATTACTCAATCTTGAAAACAAACTTGGAAAGTTGAAATCAAAGCGCTTTTGGGACCATATTAACATATTTTGTGCTGTTCACTTTTTATTGCAGTGTTACATCGCCTATAGACTCTTTGATTGTCTTATCTATTCAAGTATTCTTTGGAATTGGTCACTCTCAACGCCGTTGTCTTTTTTTCCATTCCCACTTTTATTAACATGGAACAAGAATTGTTTTCGCATCCATCATTGCTAGCCAAGAGTCAAATTGGTGCAATTGATAAACGAACGTTCAAAGAACAGTTTATAAGAGGTGCATACTCTAGACTTGAATATGAGCCTATCTTTGAGGTTAATGTCTCTGCCACTGTTAACTATATCGATGTCGATCCTAGTGTCAAGTTGTAAGTTTGATAAAATTTATTACATTGATTGATATTCTTTAATCAACTTTTGTTCCTGTCTCTTTATAGCTCCTTAGTCAGTGACTGCGATGGAAACATATCAATCTATGAAATCGAAGAAGAATCTTGCGGTAGATTGAGATTGATTGAAAAGAGACAATTTGTCCCACTCACTTTAAACAAAAGTCAATGGTATGAAAATTTAATGACCTGAATCTAGCTGAATTCTCAAAATTTACTGTCATTTCAGGTTTCCAGCTGACAATGGCTTGTTACAGGCAACTTACCCTAATAAAGTTGTCGTGGTTGATACAAATACTTTAAAATTACTCGATGCTTACGATTTTGGATTGAAAAAAGTTTACAACAGTGATTGGAATAAGTTAAATCCAAACTTGATTGCAGGTGAGAATATAAGGTGAAAAAGTACTGTGCTTTGACTAATCATTTTCCCATTGACTAATCTTTTAACAGTTGGGACCTCTGGATCATCCATTCGTTTTATCGACATTAGAAGTGGATGCTGTCTGCAACAAATCACCGTTGAATCTCTTTTAGGAGCCAGTAGTCACAACGTTTCACGTGTTTGTTGGTCACCAGTGGATGATGAATGTTTATTTGCCGGAGATTCCTCAGGGTTCATCCACATTTTTGACATTCGTAAGCCTCGGAAAAGTCTTCAATCTATCGGAAGCGACAATACAACATGTGAACCAGTTGTCAATCTATCGTTTACATGTGATAACATGAATCTTATTACAGCCCACGGGATCCAAAGTGTTCTAAATCAATGGACATTCAAGAATCGAACATTAGTGAACTCAAATATCAATTATCCATTTCCTTACTGTCGAGTGAACAAAAAGAAATCGGCTGCAGCTGCCATTTCATCTGCTTTTCTAAAATGTCAATTATACGTTACCGAGTCATTACTTTTTAAGCCAATCTGTGATGGAACGTTCGGTGGTGAATTGTGCTGTTATGATCTTAAAAATGGAGAAAGATTGAGGACATTAAGTCCGACAACATGGAATCCAGATAACTGTATGAATGTTCATTGTGTCACTGGATTTCACCGAGATTATCCTGTATTGATCTCTGGTAGCAGACGCTTCATTCGTGTTTGGGGATTAGGAGGCAAAAAAGATGACGATCAAAAGGCCAACCAGTATCATGAAGATGATTGGGGCTAATTTAACTTCTTTTTTATTCAATTTTTTTGTAACTTACAACCTCATTAGACAATACATCAACAATTGTTGAAGGTATTTACATTTGGTTTTCAAACTCAAGTGAATATTTATTTTTCAAAACTTGATCTCAATTCACATTTACACGGACAATATTGTTAACGATTAAGTTTATATCATCAGGTTATACTTGAGTTTCATTTTCTATTTATCATTGTAATTTGATGATAGCCAAAATTAACAATCAATATTTGTAACTTTATTTAAACCTACAACGTAACTGTCAATATGTGAAATCTCAATTAACATTTTTGGGCATCTCATGAACATAATTATAGACATTTAAAATAAAAATTTGTTGGCATTACAGTTCCTAAATTGAAAAATCGGCAGTTTAGATATTCAGAGGCTTTTTCACCAAGTAAAATTGTTGGTATTTTAACAACAATCTCAACTTATTGTATAATTCAGTATCTCTGTAACTCTAATCTGAATCCTCTGATTGATGAAATTGATGAGAAATTAAAACAAAACAATTTCGTTTTCAATGAATTTTCTAGTCAAATTTATTTTCATTGTTTTGGCTGAAATATTTTAAAACACAAGGCTACAGGCCACAAGGCTTTTTGATTACAAGCAACTTCGCAATTTAATTTGCGAATCATGTTTTGAAATCGTAATTTTGATTAACAAGTTTAGATTTAATTGATTAATTGTCATGTTAACTAAATTTGATACGCATTGTAAAGTACGACCAATGAAAGCTGGTTCAACATTGTCAACGATAAACCAATTTAACTATACACATCCTATGGCGAAAACAGTTGTTTCAATGGTTTTAAGAAATCAATTCAAATGATATTTTGTTACAATTGTGTAATCACGCTTTGATTTGAAAAGATGATCATCCGTAGCGACCATTGAGAAAAAATTGGGAATTTGGATTCGCTATTGTTATACTGATGATAATAGTTGTGATCAATATGAGTAAACACAGGATAAAGTGAATTGATGATTTAGTTGATGAGTTAAAATAAATTGACATTTTATCACAAATTGTGTCAATATTTAATGAATATGTATTCTGTTTATTTTTGCACAAGTTAAATTTAAATTGTCGTTGCTATGATGATGTTAATTTTTTGCACAATTTATCAACGATAAAGTTGCCGTACTATTACTTTCAAGTCTAGATGGTTAAATGTCAACAACGTCTCACAGGCTGTAATAGCTGAATAAGTATAAATGGTCTAAATAGTTTTAGATCGGAATTTTATCTTGTTAGATGTTAGATTAATACAACTTATCTATACGACTGCGTGTAAATGTGCGTTTTCAAGAAAATGATCTTAAGCTTTCTTGGATAACTTTTTTTCGATTAAGCCTGTCAACTTGTTGAAGGATTCAAAATGGTCGGATGCGATTAAGTTAAACGATTAAATGAAAGAGACTTTTTCATATTAAATGAGAATAGTACGTTCAGCTTATGGCCTCGCCTAAACCCTAGATAACATGTACAACAATGTAAACAATACGAACGATAATGTTTTGCTGTTTCACGTTATGAATATGGATCATTCATTTTGATTTTTTCACATAAATTATCAAGACTACAATACATGTGAATAGTACATAACAAAATAAATAACGGTTCCCTGAATATCTTACAACTAGAGATGCTCTTTCATTGTAACCAGTTTACTCGACTTACCTATGTTGATATGTTGGTGGACGAATCCATAATAAGATCAAATTAAACTTGAATCGGATTATAAAGTAAGTTTTACTGTTCTTAGATTTCTATGCAATAGCATTAAAAAATGATTAAAACAGTTTCATACATTCTCAATCAATCTACTGTTTTCAAAACAGTGTTTTGATGTTTCTAAACAGCTGATTACACTTTTTCAAACAGCTTGACTTATTCTTGGTTTTTTTTAATTTATAGACTTTCTTGCTCGTTTGATCCTATTTCATCATGGCTAAAGTGATGGGTAAATTACCCAAAAAAATACCAATACCAGGAGTCAATCAGGTGATTCTCGTTTCATCGGCCAAAGGAGGTGTTGGTAAATCAACCGCGTCTGTTAACCTGGCTTTAGCTCTTAAACATATTCAAAGATCAAGTAAAATTGGTTTATTAGATGCTGATGTTTTTGGTCCATCGATTCCTAAACTAATGAATCTTTCAGCAAACCCTGAATTAAATAAACAAGGATTAATGATACCATTAGTTAATTATGGTCTGCATGTCATGTCTATGGGGTTTTTAGTTGAAGAAAAAAAGGCAATTGTTTGGAGAGGCCTCATGGTTATGTCGGCTATACAGAAATTACTCCGTGGTGTTGCTTGGGGTCCACTAGATTATCTAATTATAGACATGCCTCCAGGAACAGGAGACACTCAATTATCTATCACGCAGAATATTCCAGTCTCAGGCTCAGTTGTTGTAACGACTCCTCAGGAAATCGCCCTTTTAGACGCCCGTCGTGGTATAACAATGTTTAACCAAGTTGGAGTCCCAATTCTTGGTATTATTCAAAATATGTCTATTTTTATCTGTGAAAAATGTGGCCATGGCACTCATATCTTTGGTGATTCAGGAGCTGAATCACTTTCTTTAGAAACTAATGTACCATTGTTGGGTTCAGTTGCTTTAGATCGTTCACTTCTGGTAAACCAATTTTGATAACCGAGCCAGAATCTAAATCAAGTCAGTCATTCATAGAAATTGCTACAAACCTGATAAAACCTGATAAAGCGTTTACCCCCTCATTTAAATTGTTAATGTCCGAGAATAAAAACAAACACAACCACAAACCACTGATTTCATCGCTTTCGAGAATAAATTATTAAAAAGTTGTGCTTTTATTTTTGTTCCAAAATAAATCTGTGATAATCTTGAAGATAGGTTCATTCAATTACGAATCTAGTTGTGTGAAAAGCCATCATGTACCCATCATGATGTACAAATGGTAAATATGGCCATTTGATTAGTAATCTGTAGCGTAAAGGTGGTTAAACTTGATAAACAATCATTCACCCTAAACTGTGGTGGCAACAACTGCTCTTTACGTTTGTTAATTGCATTTATTGAGTGCATCAATAATATGTACATTGAATTTTATAATGGAGATTAATAATAATAATAAAGTTGTATAAGTAGTTCAAAAGTAAATCATAATGACTTTTATTTGATAAATGAATTTGAAAAATGCGAATTGACTGTTTATACAATTTTGTTAGAGGAGCTTTTTTATAAAATGATTAAAGTTGACAAAAAATACGAAGAAAGATAGAACAAAAAAAGGTGGAAGATCATGGTTGTACATTTGGTGATAATGAATTAAACTTTACCCACTTTTAACAAATTTTGCAACGTTTCATTTGAACTTGAATGAAGAAATTTTTTTATAAAGATTGGTATGAATAGGATAAAGTTGAAGAGAAAAAGGATAACAAAAAAATGATTCAGATGCAAAAATATGTTTATCAACCCATTAAATTAAATTTTGATGGTTGACTTAAAGACTAATAAATATTTTTGCAATGTAAATGAGATTTGAAAAATTGATGAAAAAGAAAAGGTTGAAGGATATTTAGTCAGACTCGTTTCGTCCAACTTTAACGAAAACAATTTCGGCCTCAAGGCCATTCGTTTCAAGATAGTTAATCCATAAAGCTTGCTTTGGAGAAACCTGATCACCAGGTCCTTTGACTTCAACGGCTTTAATTATCTTGGTATTTGGATTCCATAGAAGTACATCAGGAAAGCCACTACGATGGCTACGATAATCATTAACCAATCTTTCACATATAGCGGCCAATGTATCTACTTTCATACATGAAACGATCTCCTAAATTGAAAAGACAAGTTAATGTTAATTCAATTCAAAACAAATAAATGAAGCAAAAGAGTTACCAACCTTCAACAAGTTTAATGTACATTTTTCCCAATTAACTAGGGATGCAGAGTCTTTATACATTTCCCATGTTGTCGATATTTCTTCAACCAATTCTTCTTTTGATGAACGCTTGATTTTTTGTAATTTTTCTTCAATCAATTTTTGCCGACGAAAGCCAAAATCATTAAAATTAAGGTCCAAAGGAACTCTCTGATAAGGTGAATGAAAAGCATCACTTGATACTTGATCATCATTGTAGATGATTTTCCAGAAAAGTAAACAAAAAAGGGAATTGTAGACAACTCCTTCACAGTGAATACCCCGGGTATAACCTTGTTTATGATAATATTCAATGACGACTTGTTCAACCGGGATTATGTTAACCTCTCCATTATCTTTAGAAGATATGAAAACATTTTTCCTCCCATCAATACACTTTTGCAACGCAGGAGCTTTAATTGTTGTTTGTTTCAATTTAAATTGAAATTCTTCGAGAGGATTGACTTTACCATTGGCTACTAGTCCTAACTTTTTGGCTCGCAAATATAATGAATATCGGTGACCTCCTCGAACATAGGTGTCTGAAAGAGCAACTCGAATCACCTCGATGGCTTCAGCGGTTCGTTTTAAATGTTTATCATAGTTGAGGGTTAACCTTTCAAACCATTTACCTCTATAATCGAGACAATATAGTCGTTGAGCTAGAAGTTTCTCCAATAAAATAACAGCTTCATTATAACAGCGTCTTTGTTCTAGGACAGTAACACAGGTAGTAAGAGCTCGAGTTAACACATGACCAGAGGTAAAACGACGAAGATAGGCTGGAAATTTACTGTCAGAATAAATAATATCAGTAGCTATGAGACCATCAAAAGCAGCTTGGATTCTAGGCAAAATATGTTCGATAGCCATTTGATGATTGCGTGATTCTATTGCTTGCATCAGATCACTTTCCAAATTGCAAGCTTCTTCAAAAAGGATTAAATTATTTCGCCGAGGAAAAACTTTGGTTTGCTTGTTAATTTGGTAAGGCACGTATTTCAATTCGCCTTGATCCACCTTCCATAAATTAAATCTAAAAAATAATAAGAGGTTAAATTATGGTAATAAGTTGAAAGGATAAAGATATATTGCGGCCTGACCAAATTACTCACAATTCATTGCTGAGCATAACTCCGTCGTCATCATCACTAATTGTTGGCGGGAAACGAATGAGAGCTATGCGAAGAAAAACTCGGGCTGATTGTCGATCAACTCGGAAACAGGTATTCCCAAGTATTTGTCTTATTCTGATAATGAAAGAATAAATTAATTAAAATAATTGTTACCATGCATTAAGATAAATAACTTACTGATTTAAAACAGGACCATCAATGTTTATGCTACTGTTGGATCCACTAGGTCCTATGAAATGAGATGTGATGGATTTACTGGATCGGACATGTTTTTTGATCGCGTCAACCAGAGCTGCCTTAGAAGAATTAGCTTTGAGAGTTATTCCTTTTAGTTGCTTTGAAAAAACCTTAATTTCACTAGAATCCAAACAATTGAGAGCATCTGTGAGATTATTGAGATATTCAGCTGAAAAAAAAAAAATAAATTTAATTATGGACTGAAAATTATTGGTTTTCAAGTTGCTAATTACTTGTAAGGAGTAATTTGGATCGCACTAGCTCAGTTAATTTTGATTTAATGTTTTCAATATCTGGGTATCGCATAGTTTGAAGTCGAATCCAATTTGGTTTTCGGACAAGAAGTCTTAGGTAAAGGGCTTGAGCAGCATCTGAAAATTTCAAAAAAGTGGTCAGTCACGGCAAGTAAAATGATTGTTGGAGTGAATAAGAACTTACAGCTAAGATTAGTAAACTTATACAAAATCTCCCAGTCATGGTCATCAAAAAGATGCGAATAATGATCATCTTTGAGAACTGAATCAATCATATCACGAAAATGTTTTAATTTATAATCTTTGTGCCATTCAACTTGAGGCGGGTCATTTTCTTTAGTCTCAGAGCAAGTTGTTGATGAATCTCCTTTGGTATCAATAACAATTTGCAAAAAATCTTCTATTTTAATGAAATTTTTTTCTTTGAGTTTTTCAATTTTAGCCTCTTCATCGTCTTTATTAGTCTCCTTCCTTGGTTTACTCGGTCTACAGAATGTAAAAGAAGGATGTCCTTGGTGATTTGACTTTGTAAATGTTGCGCTGGGTTCATCATCATCAATAATCTCTATCTCTTCGGATAAATTAACTTTGAGTTGCTTGATATCCTTAACAATATGATTGGCACTAATATTTTTGGGAACCGCAAAGGTTGGCGTTTTGAAAAAGCCGTTGACTTTAGTTGTACTTTCATCTTCCTCACTTAAGTCAATTACACTTGGTACAATCTTATCACCATTGAATTGATTGAAATCATTGGATCCGTTGCTTTTCAAATCCTGGTTGTGATTATTGTTTATGCTCCTCTTGGGCTCTACTCTGAGTTGCTTTTGTTGGCTGCCTTTGGTGAAGAAATCCAATAATGTTTTTCTTTTTCCAATACCTTCATCTCCATTTTTATTCAATCTATCATATTTAGTTGGTTTTTGCTGTTGTTGATGATTCTTTTTATGCTGTAATTGCGATTGTTCTTGGAAATGTAAGAGAAGATTAGGCTGGTGTTGTGCATTACCAAAACCAGACATTATGGTTGGATCTTTCAACATATTTTCAAAATCTTTAGCTGTTGTTATGTTGAATGTCTGTTTCAGGTTCATTTTAGGCATCATTTAGTTTAGATGGAAGGAGTATATCACAGATAACATATGAACAAAAAAGGTAAAAATGATGAAAATAATAAGTATTATATCAACAGTAAAAGGAAGAAAAAGAAAAAAACATATAACTTGTTAAGCTGGTTCACTGGTATAAATAAATAAAGGTAAACAATATATGGTTGTTTGTTAATGTTGTGGCTGTTGTAGGTTATTTTGATTCAAAAATCCGTCAAAATAATGTTTTCACTCGTTGACATATCATTGTACACCTGAGAGCACCACATAACCATAATGAAAATCCTTGAGGTTAGTAAACATTTTGGTTGGTATGAATGTATGTGAATGTCGATTGTTTATTGTAAGGGTAAGTTGTTGAGTGGATGAGTTGAGTTGATGAGGTTGTGATGTGTGTGAGTGTAGTTGAAGATATTATTTGGGAGTGTTACAGAGTAGACGAGTTAGCAACAGTTTAACTTTTTCCCTTTCTCTTTTAAAAGTACACTGTCTCTGTCTGACTCTCTTTCTTACTTTTTTTCAGTCTTCTTTGACTTTCAAGGTTTCTTCCCCAGGCTGGCCACAGAAAACACTGAACAAGAAGATTTTCAGCAAAGACTAACCAGAAAAATTCAGGTTAAAGTAAAACAACAAAACTGTATTTTGAGAAGAGATCGGAATACCACAATGAATACTATGATGAGGAAGGAGCCAGAATCGATGTTACACAAACATACGGAACTGGAACAGCAGTGAGAATAGTTCCTGAAAAAGATCATAAAATGAAAAAAAAGAATAAAGATTATTGTGTCGAGAAAGGTAAAATGAGATAAAAAAGTGGGTGAGAGTCAAACTAAGTGGTTAACTGTTGTTGCTGGCTAATTAACTAGGCTAACGGGAAGGTTAGCTTGAAAGATTCAAGGTAAATCATATAAAAAGTGAAAGTTACCAACCTCAAAAAGGTAAACTTTATAAAGCTAAATAATATAGTTGTTTCAATATAGATAGATCTTGATTGTATTATTAACTTTAACAGCCTGCCTTAACATATGACCACCATTCGTGTTTTAAAATGGTAGTGATGATAATGGTGATGGCTTTATTATCAATAATTTTAGTTTTGAAGGTTATTCGTTTTGATTGTTTAAATTTCAATATTGAGAAAAAAATAAATAATTCAACACAAATTATTTACTTTGAAACACAGAGTAGATATAAGGAGATGATAACTTGATATTTAAAGCATGAGGCAAAAATTGAGCCGCATTGCGTAATTTTGTTAAAGGGAAGGTTAAAAAAGTAAAATTGATATCTGTCAATGTTGAAAAGATGACACACAAAAATTAAAATCAGCTGTAAACTAATCTAGCAACCTTAATGATGAGATATCAACATAAAATATAGATTAAATCGGACGACTATTGCAGTTTCGATCAATCTAAAAAAGTTCCTTTCCTACCAAAATATCAAAAATTGTGGCAACATTCTGGATGCAATTTGATGAGAACCCTGAAAAAAGAGTCGCAAACGAGTCAATAACGACAGATTCTGTGATTTGACTAATTGGGTCAATAATTGGAAACAATTATTCAAATTGACCTTACCATTCAAACCTATCAGCTTACAGTCCAAGATTTCAAATGAGTCACGATGAAACGACAATATAAATTTTGAATCCAGTCAAAGATTTGATTTTTGACCGTAAACCTCAACGAGAACAAGAAATGATCAATAAAACATGTAATAAAATTATAATGATAAAACTAATCATAAAGAATATTTGCTTTGAATATTAAGACAACCAGGAAGACGAAATAAATAGAAGATCAAATAAGCGATTTCCAAGATTAATAGGGAAAACTGGTTACTTAATTTGAATCGACTTACCTAGTTTATCTTAAAAGCTCTTCAATGATATCATAATTCAATTAATCATAAGATTGAAAGCACAGGTATCAAATTAATTTTCACTAAAAAAAGAAGTTGAAGGTTATCAACATTCAATCGTTTCACTTCTTGGTTCGTTACTAGGAAGGAACCTTTATTTGTATGTTTGTTGAATTTTCTCAAAAAGCATTCCGGGGTTTTTCTTTATCGTCATCTCACTAAACGTCTTAATCTTCAAGAAAATCAGTTTTCAGTTGAAGTTCAAGTTCAGGTTATAATCGTTTTCTTTTTTTGTTGATAAAATGGCCGTCTGTACAAACTGGTAAATCATCAAGTAACGAATAACTTAGAGTTAATGAAAAAATTGAGCAAAGAAACAAAATGAATACATGTAAATAAGTAACCCTGACCTGTTTACGGTTTGTTGAAATTGACGGAGTTGATTCTTTATCCTTGAATCGCTTTAAGAATTAATTTTAAAACAACTCTCAACTATGTTCTCTTCGGATCATCTATCATGAAGTCCAGTTCATTGAAAACTCGAATGAGGAAAAAATATTGTCATTAGAAGTGACACTGACCAGAAAAAATACAAATAGGTATTATCATCAAGATTTAACAGCGAAGGGAATACAAGGAAATAAAATATAAACATGCACTTAAACAACATTCAACTAATTTCACCTTATCCTAATCAATTCAATTGTCTCTCCATCTAGTTTAATTCTCTGATAATCTCTTGGTAATAACATAACCAATTCTAATGAAACCAACCTTTGAAGAAAACCAGTCCTAAATATCCAAAACGGTGTTCAGGCCATGAAATATTGTATTTAGGCTTATTTTTAAGACATGGGATCGCAAATACCTGTAATATTAAAGACATAAAAACCAAAATTAATGAAAAATATTCAAAATGAAATCGAACTTCAACTATAAATAAATAACTTTCCTAAAAACAGTGAGATGGTTTAGCTTTTTTCACTATAACTTTACCTTTTACTTTAGCAAAAGTGAATTACCTTTTTCGTTGACTTTTGAGAATTTTCAGGCTTTATCGAACAATCTTAAAAAAATTACTAAAAACTTGAGAATCTTTAAATAAAATCAATTCAATATTTGGAAATTATAGATGGAATCGTTGAATGCACAAGACTAACATTAACCAGAAAATTTGGCGCTTAAGGTTACCGATATCATGACCCAATATCGAGATCCGATTATGGGTTAATAATGCACTTTTTCAGATACTGATATAAGATACAAATATCTATACAAATTTGTGCGATTTTCAAACTTTCACTTTTCACTTATTTTCAAAATTATTTTGTTCAATTTCATGAATATGATTCAACAATCGATCCATCTGAGCTAGTTTTAACGATTTTATCCGAATACAATAGAAAAAATTTAATCCTGTTCTCATTGATTATTTAAACTATCTGATTCGTTCCGTAATACAAGGTGTTCCTGAAGGCCTTTCGATTAAAGTAATCAAAATGGATAATAATCATGATGATAATAGTGATAATTATAATATGAAAGCGGAATCATGAAACCGATTATTTTACAACCTTTAACAGGATGAAGCAAACAAGTAAGAAGAGAAAAGAGGAAGACCTTGATTCAGTGTTGAATGAGTTGCCTTTTCAATTCTGTTTAACCAGATAGTTCTGTAAGTGTGTGAGTGTATTTATGTGAGTTTAAATGGTGAACACAAAATGTTGCCGTAAACTTGACAGTGAAAGTGAACTTTTTCTTGATTTAGCTTAAGAACAAACTGGAAGAAAGAAAGAGAAACAACGGATGGGTGAGAATCTGAAAATTCTTGTTTTCATGATTCTTCTTGTTGACCTTGCTGGTTTGACACTCCTAACTGGTTATTATAAATACACGCAACTTTCTCCATCTTCCCTACTTATTATCCAAAACAATCAGTCTTGTGAGGCTTTACTGAGAATAATAAAATTATATTACCAGTTTTCAGGTAATAAGACCTTCGCTCTACTCTTTGCTCACTTGTACTTTTACCGAATACACCTTCAACGCCAACCGGCTCTGAATCATCAGAATTCCATGGTTTTAATCTGTATTTCACAACTGGGCTCATCATTGAAACGAAAATTCCAGAGAACCTAATCTTAAAGCTTGAGTACTCTTAATAAGGATTTGAAACGAGTAAATAACCAAGGAACAGGATTGAGTTTATAAATTGGTTGGAACAAGTTTTAGTGAAAATGTAAAAGCTTGAAGTTGAATGGTTATCGCCCTGTAGTCCAATTGTCTAATTATTGGATTGATTAACATGATGGTAAAGAAATATTCCATATGATAGCAAACATTACTATACATTACAAATTACTTACATTTGTTAGAAATACAGTGGAATGGAGGAAATATTACAAAGATCTAGTTTGATTTGAGCAGATCAGGCATCAAAAGATTGTTTTAAAACCATGAATGTTCAAAGATTGATAGTAATGTAGATATTTTAAAATTGCGTCGAAATCAGTTAATTATTTAATATGTTTTGTAACTACGATCTTTGAAGCTGGCCCGCGATACTGACACCAATTTTTTATATAAAACCGGTTAACAGCTGGTTTCTATGGAAACCCATGCTGGAGTAACAAGCCTCGTTGAAAAATAAATAAAACACATGTTTTCTTCTGATTTACTCACTTCTAATTAAATTTTTACAAATTTGTTAATCGTTTGTCATATAATGGCTGATTTTTTGAATCAAGTTTTCAATCATACTACGCCTATTGAGAAAGCTATCCAGCTGATCCAGTTAAATAGAAATTTTAAAGCAATTTATGGTCAGGTAAGTTTATTTTCCAACTTTTGTAAATTTTTCGTTTCTAATCTCATTTTTTTATTAATTTATTAAGGATGCAAAATATCATGATGTTTTCCAATCTCAAATCAATTCTCTTCTCTCTATTCCACCAAAAAGGTAGGTTGACAGTCAATCCTTTGCAGATTTATATTAACATATTTTGTTGTATATTTTTTTAGGGTTCATGGTTTTCTTCTTATCCAAGAATATTTGATGGAAATGCCGAAAGATTTACCTGGAGATAATTTGAAAAATTGGGCTACATTCTGTGTGTCATATATTGAAGTATGAACTCTTCTTTTAGATGACTTTTGTCGCAATACTTACACTGTTTTTCTTGATATTTAGGGATCTACCTGGAAAGGAAAAGATATTGCTTTACAAGTATTGGATAAGTTGTTACAAAATGGTCATAGTGATGATAATACTCGGCGAAAACTCAGTCTTCATGTTGTTAGTTCTACTGTGGAATATGTTTGTCGGAATAACTTAATTTTGGTCAAGTGCTCACCTTCAATTGTTTTCAGATTTCTTCTCACTTGTGTGACTAAATACTCTGGATCATGTGGATCTAAGAAAAATTTGATCACCAATTTCATAGTTAAAAATATTTATGACTGTTCTGATGGATATGAGGTCAGTACAAGGTATTATAACACTTTAAATGTATCATTCATCAAACTCTTTTTTCTTTAAACAGACCCTCGTTGCACTATTGGCCAATATCCATTATTGTCCAACACCCGGTCAATCAAATTTGACTACGAAAAATAGTTGGTTTGATCACTTTTGTGCTATCCTTGTTAATTTAAATTTAATTTTGAATAAATTGGCAACCTGGGGAGTAGGTAAGTTATCTTTTGTAAATGAAAGAAGTAGGGACAAAAAATCATTTCTGTATCTTCATTTATGTGATGAACATTGTTGCTCTGAATATTAATTTTAAGTTTTGTTTTAGGGTTCGAAAATCTCTCACTGACCAACAAAAAATTACCACAGTTTTTGGGAACCAACGAAAAAGAAGGTTTCGATGGTAGGATGAAATTAGAACAAAGTTACAAAGCCTTGTCTGATACAATTTGCAAAATGTTACAAGACACTGCATCTATTGGTTTAACCATTCCTGTATCAAGCATTTTCCAAATAATTTATCGAGCTTCATCGGTGAAACTGGGACCTCTCTACTCGATGGACCCGTGTCTTTCTCTGACCATACTAGTTATTCAATTGCACACGCTGAAAATATTGGAACAATTAATTTCTACCTGTAAAACAGCGTTGTTGCCATACTCAAAATTCTTTTACCAAAGTATAACTAGTATTTTGGATAGTGCATTAGTAAATACCGATTCTTCATCATCAGCAGCTAATCAATCACTTTCACTCACTAAAATGTGTATATTTGACTTGAAAATTCATTGTTACAAAGTGATTACCAAATGGTTCACAGTCAATCGTCCTAATATGTTCATCGATAAAGATTCTGCAGTTTCCCTTTTCAAGCATTCTATGATAGATATGAAATTAAGTGAAAAAAGCATTGAGGTAAGTCAAACTTTTTAGTATTCATTTTAATCAAGACGAATCTTACTATTTCACTAAAATTGAATTTCTCTTCCTTCATTGCAGCTAAGAAATGTCAAGAAGGATAAAAATTCCAAGACTGTAGATAATGTCATCTCTATACCATTCATTAAGGAAAAATTAAACTCCCTGCATTTATATTGCTTGAAAGGTAATATGCTTACAACTTTACCGTACAAGTTAATTAATTATTGTTTTTATCTTTTTCAGCTATGAAATCATTTGTGACGAATTGTTTCATCAATCTTCCCTCCGAACAACTCACTTTCTTTGCAACATTTATAGCTGAAGAAATTCTTGCCTTGTATCGATCCTCATTATCATCAACGATGCTTTACGAGAAACCTCAGACTCGTAAGGAGTTGCTTTCCTTGGCTGTGGTGCTATCTCTGGAAAATGAAACGATTCCATTAAGTATTGGCTTAAATTTGCTACAAAATGCGCTCAATGTTGACCCATCTAGTCTGATACAGAAATTTTGTTTCGAATCTTTGAGAGCTTTCAATGGAATTATCAATCCTATTAGAATCTTGAGAGTAAGTGAATCTACCCAGAAAGATTTGCTCAGCGGCGTCTGGTCAAGCTTTAGTACTGATAATAATGCTGCAGTTTCTACTGGAGAAAACTCTCAAGATAACGAAAATGAACGGAATCTTATAGAAGATGAAAACAGAATCGACGAAAATATTGATAACATGAATAGAAACGAAATCCCCGAGTCTTCCAATTCAAAGGAAAATTTAAATGAAAAGGAGCAAAATGTTAACTATACTACCAATTCAAACAGCGAACCAGAACCTAATGTAATCATGATCCAAGAAGTTGATGACGATTCTTCTGAAAAGGAAAAAAACCATTCAACAGAAACTGATGATTGTATCGTTTATGATCCCGATGAATCTGGTGATGAAGGTTCAAAAATGAGCAAAAATGATAAAGATGATGATTTGGAAATTGTGGATATAAAACCAAATATTTCCATCAAAAGAGATGATTTTGAAATTGATGACAATATCTCATCAAATAAGAAACCTAAAATAATTCAAGAAGATTCACAATCACAATCCTCAAGCCGTTCATTAACCATAATCGAACCCAGTTCCAATAATGATGAAACCAATGGTAATATTAGTGATGATATAATCAAAGACTTTATCGCTGACTGAAGCTGCAACTGTTAACTTATTATCGATATCTGGCTGAAAAATAAATAAATATTTAGGTTTTATTATATTAAAATTTGTTTTTTCAAAAAATATTCAAACTCTCCAACATCTACAATTGATAATTAATAAAGATTGCTTTTGTTGACAATAGCTGCATTGATGAATTATTAATTATGCATTTGTAGCTTAATATTAGCTTAATAGACAAGTTGAGAAACAGCAATTAATGGAAGTAATTATTAAAAGCCAATTAAGTACAACACAATACGATTTCCAAAATTTACTCGCTTTATGCCAAACAAATGGCTTTTGTAATTATTGAATGACTGCATGTAAAATGGAGGATGGCCTTTAACCAAGTTCAATCTGTTAATTGTCTAATTGTAAAATTGGTTTGAATCGTGTCGCGATTCAATGACTAATCAATAATGTTTTGTGAATGATCTTGAAATGAGTGTTGAGGAAAAAGTAACAAGTACTGACAATATGCATATCAGTTGAAGAGTAACAATCGTCACACAATTTAATTTGATATTGCACTTTAGGTAATTGGGTTACTTTGATTAGTCCTGAGTATATCATTTGTGTACTACATTAATAAATTTCCATCAAAAATTCAGTTGACAATAATCAAAGTCGAAAGATTAACACAAAATATTGTACGAACATTGAACTCAGCCAAAGACTGGCCAATAATTGAAATTAAATGTGGATATTAATCGACCAATGAAAAATTAATGTTCAACTGACACAGTGATAGTAATTATTCAATGAATATCATTTAAAAGTTTCAAATGTTGTTGTCCTGTTAATACATTGAAATGATTGTTTGGTGAGGATAAATGATAATGATAACCATCAACCTCATCAATATTGATTGTTAATGTGATCGCTGCTTGTACGCTTCAATTCAAAGCAATAAAAGCATTGTTTTATGTCAAATTTTAATGTGATTTAGCAGTTCAATTACAACCATATCGGCCTTTTAAATTGTCACCCTTTGAACCGCAAAAACAAACAAAAATACTTACTTCTTGTACTGTATATGAAATGACATTCTAAATTGTCATTAACATTTATAGCAATAACAAGGAAATTATTCCACTGATTGATGAAAGTTGAATAATAAAATCTGTTGGTGATGATTGAAAGCAATTATTATTAGTGTTGAAATGTCAACTTGATTTTATCCTTTCTGCTAATTAACTGTCGAAAGTGAAGAAAGAAACAATTACACTGAAGCTCATTGACAATTAACAGTTCAATCTTTTAAAGGTAATGGTAATTAGTAAAACAGTGCAAAGTATGAATTAAGAGATTCATATTATATCTTCGGAAGTTAATGGTTAAACATTTAGTCAATCATAATTGTACGTGATTGGGAAACTGAGGTTGACATGAACTGGGTTCAATCATTTCAGGTCTCACCACTTCCTTACAATGAAGATAGCTACAGCACCTTTAATCTAATTATGCTCCTAATTTAGTGACCTTAAATTCTGGTTAGGGTTTAACAATATGATTGAAGAAAGGTACAACCGGCAAAAGTCGATCCAAACTAATCGACGACAAAATTTGTATAAAAGCGAAAAATTTTCTTGCAAAAAGTACAGTTGTTCAAAACCTTTCAAACAAACAATACCAATCAAGTGGATTTAACTTTTACTTTGTTTCCAGCAACAAGAAAAACCAACAAAACCAAAATGATGAATAAAATGTGCATCGTAATCTTAATTGTTTCAGCAATCATCCTTTCATCAGTCGATTGTGGTGACAAAAAAGGAACCAATATTGTGATTAAAGACAAACACAGCCAAATGATTTTAAACACAAACAAGAAAGGCGGTGATAATATTGTGATCAAAGATGGATGCCACAAGAAGGAACACCATTATGTCCCTCACCATGAAATGGTTCACGGTTGGGGCCATGGTTGGGGTCATGGATGGTAATCAAATCCCTGATTCGCCTGGTTAATCATCAATCAAACAGTCGATTAGCAATTGTAAAAAACAGCGAAAACAGTTTCTTGGTTTATCCAATTATCTGGTTATAAATTTGGATAGACATGTTTAAATCAGTATTCAACTAGAATAATTATTATCCATACTTATTCAATCCACCATCCAATTCACCCTTCAATGTTACCCTTAGCCTTCCCACTGGCTGGGACAGTTAACTATTTATATCTTATTGTTACCCCCTTTGTTAATTACAGATTGATGATTAAAATTTTTTTATTTTACTTTATTTTGTCCAATTCTGTTCGATTAAAGGTAAATTTCATTCGTCTAACTTAATCGTAAGAAATATCAGTTCGAACGGGAAACTTGAAACTTATCGATTGTTTAAAACGGTGATCGTTTCACATTTAACATTACCAATGTACCTAACAGTAGCTCAATAAACTTCATAAGCTTCTTAAAATTAACGGTTCAAGTTAAGCAATAAAAGATCAAAACTTTTTATTTCATAAGACAATGTGCAGTTCATTATTGGTTAAGTTTTTAGTTGACCAAGAAACGTCGTTTGCAAGATTTCTCGTGAAACTTGAATGTACACAGAAATTCGTGTCTATTGGTAAAAGCCAAACAAGTTGGGTTATCCCTCAGTAGAAAGTCTACAAGTAATACAACAATCGTTTGTTTAGGTGCATATGGTTGATTATAAGATCACAGAGCTTAATTTACAGATCAACTTGACTAATTAGAGGATTGAAAATTGAAGGGCTTCACGATTTAGTCGAGATGCGAGTTACAATGTTGTAAATTGAGTTAGTTCAACATCAGTTCCCAGATCAACAATAGTTTTTCCAACTCATATTCCAAATTTATTGTTCTTCAGTCATAGTTGATGTATCAACGCTTGGTCCTACTTTCGAGGTGATTGATTCCGACATTTGAGTTGAAATAGCTGGAAAAACAAAACCATCCATCAGTTTACCGTAAATCGAGATTCCAAACCAAATCCCAAGAATACTGCTAATGTATATCAAAAGCTCAGTGAATGTTGACTTAGGATACGTTTTGTGAATGATATTGAAATCGACTTGATTGTCCAAACAGATCAAACCGATTCCTGAACCCTTCTCTCGTGATGATCTTCCTTGAGTTTTATGAGTTTTCTCAATGCATTGAAGCTGTTTAACTAGTTCTGCACATTCAATGCGTATCTGTGAAAGCGTTTCATTAGCACGAGATTGCAAGTCTTCAAACTTATAATTGCTTGGAAATTGACCAACTTGAATAACATCATCAAACTGAACTATTCCTGGATATGAATGTGATATTTTTTCGCGTAAACACTGAATAAATATGTTTTCTTTCTGATAATGGCGGCAATTGGTTTGATAAGGCCATTCGCTGTTTTCAATTACAGTTTCTTTGTAACGCAAAATTGTAAATACATTTTCACCAGCTTCTCTTTCAACTGCCTCATAATTGAGGCTGTTTGGATCGATTGAACTGTTAGTGTGTGCGAAACGAACTCCAAAAAGGTGGTAAATATTATGCTGAATACAGAAGCTACTGTCAGCCATAATATTTCGCACCAATCTCCTTTCTATCGGCTTTGAATTTACTCGACATGAGATTCTGATGAATGTTTTAACTGCGTTGAAATACCTCTTTGTTGAACATAAATCATTACGAGTGAAAGCGACTGTTTTAGACTTGGAGTTCAAGATCAAGGATTCGACGTTCAATTGTTCAACATCGCCAATGGTCAACATATTTCCAACATGGTAACTACTTTCATAATAAGATTTCAAGTACTTTAAGCAGTCTTTCCTCGAATTGATTGTTAAGTTTGATAACTTCATCAAATACTCACATAAATGGTCAAACTTGTTCGAATATTTCAGGTAGAGCGCCGTCATATTCAACAAATCGATATTGTGCAAGATAATGTCGATTTCGGGGACAATCATTTTCTCTGGATAATCGTAAATAATATCAGCTTGAACAGGGAACTTTAGAAACTCATTTACAACAGTAAATAGATGAATTGAACACCCAACTGAACAAACTGCTGAAATAAAAACTTTTCTCTTAAATAACATCATTGTTACGGTTTAAAATTAACCAGACGTATTTTCTTATTTGCGATTCGTTCAAAGTGCGTTATGTTTTATTCTGAATTTGAAACCACAAAACATAGTCAATCAGTAACTTTGGAAACTATGAAATAATTGATTCTATTGGATTTCGATGAAAAAAAGGCTCAACCCGGTCTGTAAATTTGTTACAATAGAGTAACACATTCGATTCTTTTATACTGGAATATATGATTGATTGGAAGTTCATTGTTACCAGATTGGGATTGGAATCGAAGATTTTAACTCATAATTGACCTTTCATTTGATCCATTCATGTAATTAATCAAACTTATTGATTCAATTATATCTGAAATTGTCTTCAATGAAAGTCTGCTATTGTACAACCACGAAAAAAATCTTTGCTAGTCTTGAAAATACCCAAAAATAATGATAATGTTGTATTAATACTATTGAGAGATATATTGAAATCGAGATTTCTTTTTGTTTGTGTCCAAAATTGTATTTTAATGAACTTCTTCCAGGACTTGAAAGCAAATTATTATATAATGCTTTAAATTGAATTCAATACAGTATTAAGACTAACAAGAGCTTCAATATAATTTAATTTACAGTTGTTCGTTTCACAATGGAAATATCAACTCTATTTACACAGTTTCATGTTCTTCAGTCATTGTCGATATCTCAACACCTGGTCCAACTTTCGAGGTAATTGCTCCAGACATTTGCGTTGCAATAGTTGGGAAAACAAAACCATCTATCAATTTGCCATAGATTGAAATACCAAACCAGATACCAAGTATACTGCTGATGTATATCAAAAGCTCAGTGAATGTTGACTTGGGATACGTTTTGAGAATGATATTGAAATCAATTAGATTATCTAAACAGATTAAACCAATTCCAGAACCTTTTTCTTTCAATGATCTACCTCGAGTTTGGTACGTTTTCTCAATGCATTGCGGCTGTTTAACAAGCTCAGTACATTCACTTTGTATCAGTGAAAGTGTTTCATTGGTGCGAGTTTTCAAGTCCTCAAACTTGAAATGGCTTGGAAATTGACCGACTTGAATAACATCTTCAAATTCAACCACTCCTG